GTAACTTGCTTTGAAGCTGATGTTCTTTTTTATGACACAAATTATATTAAATCACTTTAGTTAGTTGGCCAAGGTACAATCTTCTGAAAGACAATAAGCAAATTAACGACTTCTTTCTGTGACAACACTTTCACAAAACATATCTTTCCTCATCACAATCAGTGGCATGGTCTTATTCCTTAGATTTTCTTCCTTCAACCTCTAAGGGAATAATCATAATCATCATCATCATCATTATCTGCTTGAGCCTTTGTCAATCAATTACTCTATTAATACTATAAAATAAAAAAGAAACTAAAAACAATAATAAATAGTTGTACCAAATTAAAAAATACAAGTACCTGCAAAGCCAATGGGATATGAATCACAAGCAGATGAAAGCATCAATTCTTCTCCTGGGCTGCTGTCCTCAACCAAAATTATGGTGAGGCTGGTTTATGCTCCAGGAAAATATTGCCTACAATACTGTCAGGTTAAGTTCACACTCGCTTGGTTGGTAATATCACATTACCATTTGCTTTCTGGATCACCACTTATGATGGCACAGATCAAGTGATCAAACTCACATCACAAGTTGTCTCACTACACTACTGCCACGAAACTGTACAACACTTGACATAAAATGCCATAAAACCACATCACAGTAAGTAATCAACCATAGGAATGTAAGCTACACAAGCCGAGGTCCATGACAGCACAAGTCCTCACTAATGACAAAGGTGGCACGAGAGCGGTGCAGCAGGCATCCCCCCGTGCAAGTGGGCAGCGGGGTACTGTGTGACGGTCGCCGCGCCGCGCCGCCCAGACTCGAGTGCTGGCACAGATACCACTCACTGCTTGGCTGGCAGCCCGCCTGTGTGCTGCCTCCTCCTCACTCTCACACTTCTTGTCACCTCCACTCAGCAATCAATACAAGCACAGCACTGTCTGCTTGCAGGAGGCAGGGAGGGACCCCCATCAGAGCTACGAGTGCTCGGTGCAGGTGGTGGTTCGGCTGCGATGGCTGTGGACGTGCAGCGCGGGCGGTGCGGGCGTGTACTGTGGGCGTGAGACAGCCAGCAGCGGCAGCATGCAGCAACAGCAGCACCAGAGCCCGGCGCGGCACCTCTCACCTCGGCCGCCGCAACACTGCAGTGCCGCCTCCACCTCGCCTTATCTCCGCACGCGAAACTCACTCGCCCGCTCCGGCCGCGCTCCCTCCGCCGCCGCCGCGCAAGCACGACGCTCGACGCCGCCGCCCGTTGAATGCAACTGCAACCGCAAAAGTCAACTCGTAAAAAACGCCTCGTCCGCAGCGCGAGGAGAGCGAGAATGCTTGCGACTTTCCTTCGAAACGAGACGTACGAAGAAATCGTCGAGAAAAGTATTATATCATTTACATTACATTATCAAAGACATACTTTGCTTTCAGGTTCAAGCAGCGGAATGGTCCAGACATACATGCATTCGAACTAAATCTTACCGGAAACTCCTTGCTCTTGCCATTGGCTTCTTGGATTCCTCGAAATCTTTATGGCCAATAGACGCCAGAAGCGAGGCAAGCGACGACCGCCGCGCCGCCCATACACAGCTGCGCGAGCGATCCGATGCTCCTCCCTCCCGTAGAGCGCATTTCCACGTTCACTTCGCCGCTAAATCAGCCCTTGTCGTCCGTCGTATAGTTCAGCCTAGGTTGGAAGCACTTCCATAAATTGCCGATTCTGTCGATATTAAAGATTGTTCACGTATTTTACGTATGGCAAAAGTAACGTTATTTGTTCGTGCTTGCCGTGTTGGACGTATCAATGAATGACAAAATAAGATTCTTTGAATAAAACCAATTCAATTTGAGTGTAGGATCACCGACTAAAACATGTTGAGGCCTACAAATGAGAGGCCAATTACCATTTTGGGGAATATTATTTCGGTAATAACGGCTTGATACTTAGAAACAATTACGTAAATTCACGCTTGTAAATAATTAATATAACCTTCATTCACAACATTTACTCACGGTCACCGGTATGATGAGTCTTAATATAAGTTACGTTGTCACGCCTCTGGCAATTGTAGGGCTGAGGCCTGACTTGCTGGGAGGCTGTGTTGACGATGAACGTTTATTGAGGCCGTACATTTAAGAGGCAGAATTTCGCCGAAGGTGATCCAAAGTGCGTTCCTCCACAATGCCCAAAAATGGACCATATAAAATACTGGGAATAAATATACTTTTCGTGTGATTTGTCATCCAGCTTTTTTTCTTTCTCCGTTAACCACAGTCAGAATTGGTATCTAGCAACTGCTCCACTGTCAACATCCGCGTATGGGTAACACGTGATGATGGAAGGGATTAAAGTTGTACCCTAGAGTACATATGCGCGCGCACCATAGCCCTTGATTACACATGCGATTTTGTTCACGTACAAATCAAACCTGTGTTAATGTTGCAATTCCATCTTCGCGACATGTTGATATACCCAGAGGTAATATAAGGTAGAATATGGCTTCCTTTGTGCCCTTTTCTCTCCTGAGTACGACTAAGTCGGAAATGCCTTTCGGATATAAGGAACTATGTTGCGATTACGTGTGCAGAGTGAGTATCCACAGTGGCAATTAGGCTGTTCACAATACGGAAAGCACTCTGGAGAGTAATATGTCAAAAATACGTTGAATGCACCACACCGTTTGAACAAGGGGTGAGTGCGACCTTGTAAAGTGTCGTGTACGTTCGTGTGTTGGTAACCTCACGAAACATTACTGCGACGTGACGCTCCTATAGAATATCATTTGTCTTGAAAAAGGCTAGCGACCGGTAAAGTTTTTACTGCGTGAACCAAATATTTTTATTATGACTGTGTGGTTATTTCGAGTAAATGTTTAAATTTAGTGAATTCGGTGATTTATGTGATCGAATCTGATCGTGATGTAGGTAGGTATACCTGGATCTACATGCATTTATGTCTTAGAAATACTCATGTTTTATTATGCGTTTATGTATTTGTGTATATACATGAAAACTGTACGTTCATTTGTGTATGCGTTAGATGTACAGAGTATTTTCCCATATTCGTTTAGTATGCTCATACAAAGAACCGCACAGGTGTAAGCAAAGGTGTCTCTCTCTAAATGTAGGTTATATCCGAGTGCGCAAAAACGCGCACGCACCATATATGTATATATATACATACATGCATATATACATATGCATATATATATATATATATATATATATATATATATATATATATATATATATGTATGTATGTATGTATGTGTGTGTGTGTGTATATATGTATGTAAATGTATGTGCGCATGTATGTATGTATGTATATACACATATACATATGTACATACATGCATATACATAAATATGTATGTATATTTATAATATATATATATATATATATATATATATATATATATATCTTTGTGTGTGTTTACACATACACACACACACACACACACACACACACACACACACACACACACACACACACACACACATATATATATATATATATACGTGAACTTTTATGTTTATAAGTTTGTGTGTGTGTGAAAATATGTCTGTTATTAAATATATACATTCATATATATGTGCACTCTCATGTATGTGTATATATACACAACACACACACGCACACACACACACACACACACACACACACACACACACACACACACACACACACACACACACACACACACACACACACACACACACACACAAACCTACAAACAGAAGAGTTCACGTAGAAACCTAAAAAATATATATATAAATATATATACATTTAGAATAACAGCACGCGCGTTGAAGTGTCCGAACAAGTGATTCATAAAAGTGTGACATAGATACATCGAACCCCGAGCTCGCGAAGCCGGAGCGTGGAACGAAAGCGTCACCGTATGTTCCTGCCACAACCTAACCGCGAGCAAGGTGGCCAGGACTTACATAGGGAATTAAGCTGTCGCGTAGTTATTCGTTCTTCTGTCTTTTAATCTGCTCTGCCGAAAGCGGCGCGTAGACGAGACACTAATGTGGTAAATGGAAGGAGAGGGAATGGTTTTAAGCATATGGTGTCCGCGGAAAAACCACAGGACATTGAATTATTGGATCGATTTTTTTAAAGCATGAATTTCCTTTTTTTACTTTTTGTTTATTTTTTATTTTGTTTTATTTATTTTTGTTTTGTTTTGTGTGCAGTCATGTAGTCTTTCGATGTGGCCATGGGGCGCCGCACGTGCATTTATAGTTTTTCTCAGCATGTGCGTGCGTGTTAATAAGGAGTGTGCGTGTGTGTGTTTTATTTATAGCGTATACGTGTTTTATTTGTTTATGAAAGTTTTGCTGGTAGGGTTAATCAAATTGGCGGTACAGTGACTGATAACAGAAGCAATGGTGGTAGATTAAGTGGAGAGGATACTGTTGGTGGTTATGAGAGTGATCATAGATATATTTATAAGATGATATTGATAAGAATATCAGTTGAGTGGATATTACCTACAGTGCACATTGCACATGAGGGAACATCGTAGTTATGAATTATATTTGTATGAAATTACACAGGACGATAAGGAACATAAGTGTGGATAGCGTGTATCGGTACATAATGTTATCATTAGCCCAATTATATTTAACACTTAGTGCTATAAGCAATGATAATGGTTACATTAAAATAGTTTCTTTCTCCTTATGTTCACACAAACAATCTACACCATGTAATGATACTGATAACAGTAATAATCCAGACGATTATCATAATGATAATGATAGCGATAACATTTGTTCTCAAGGATAGTGAGGATAAAGCCACTGATATTAATCATGATATTGATAATTGTAACAACGGCGGTGATACTCTTTACTATTGATAATGACATATTAATAAGGATGTCAAAAATAGTTATAATAATGATAATGCTTTTGGAAACCATATTAGTCTTGGTGCTAGTAATAACGATAGTGATAGTTGTAGTAATAACAACAGTAGTTACTAATGCGAATATGGATAATTGTGGTGATAATAATAATTAATGGTTATTATATTTTTGATGTAAACCAAATGTTTATAATGGTAATGATAGTAACAGTTAAATTGATAGCGCTAAAAGAAATGAGACACCAATGAAGATATTGCTGTGAATTCTCTGATGATAACTTTAAAAAAAAGGTATTAATAGTAAGGCAATCATTTTTTTAAATATTACATGTGATAATTAAAGTAATGTTAAAATATAAGTAATGATAAAAGTACGGTTGTAATAATGGATATGTTGATAAAAATTCTGATTATGATGACGAAAATACAAAATGAAGATAATGATAGTAGTTATTATGACGATAAAAAAAAATAATAATATTAATAAAGATAAGGTTAAAGCCGACAACAGTAGTAATACTAATAATCTTGCTTGCTACATAAGTGATGTAGTTTGCTAATAAAAATGGTCTAGGAGGGAAATGATAATAAGAAGTTTTCATTCCAGTGATGATTATAGTGACTATGATAATAATGATAATAAACTACTACTACTACTATTACTATTAATTATAATGATAATGATAGCAATGATGGTAATAATAATAATAATGATAGCAGCAATAGTAATATTTATAACAACGATTATTGATAATGATAGTGTTGGTTTTGATGATGCAGATAGTAATAACAGTTATAATAATAATGACAATAATAATAACAACAATGTACTTCACATTCGAACAAACAAGTTCATCATTAAAAAATAAGCGAAGTACACTTAAAAAAAAAGAAAAGAAAAAGAAATAAAAAAAAAATATATATATAAATTAATGCACAAATTTCTGTAATTCACTTGCAGATTTGCATACCACACTCTCCACCATTATAACTCATTAATGAAGAAAGATCCTCTAGTCTTAATGGATGTGGTTGAACTCGTTGGTGGTGGTGATGATGGTTGGTGGTTGGTGGGGAGGAGGGGGGGGGGTATTGAGGCAATTTTTGTTAATCTCGGCTCTGTCATGAGTTGCCTTCGGTTGAGAGATTGATGTGGTCAATGAGGCGTCTTAGTTATGTCATCTCCTCAACGATGGGAGGTTTGTGGGTCTGTCTTTACTGGGTGTCGCTTGTTTGTGTTGCTGTTAGTGGTTTTGGTAGCGATGTTATGTTAGTGTTTTATATTATTGTTGTTTTGTTAATGTCATTGCTATTATTGTTAATGTTGCTGTTGTTTTAGCTGTTAGTTATTATTGTTGTTATTATTATTATCATTATTATTATTACTATTATAATAATTTTATTCATCATAATTACTTTTATTGTTATTGTTATTGTTATTAGTAGTAGTAGTAGTAGTGATATCATTATTATTATCATTATCATTATTGATATTATTATCATTATTATTGTTGTTATTATTATTATCACTAATATTATTGATATTATCATTATTGTTGTTATTATTATTATTATTATTCATCTTATTAATATTTTGTTACTGTTAGTATTATTATTAGTGGTAGTACTGTTAAAATCATTACTCTTATTA